TAATTACCGGTTGTATTAAGTCTCTTTGTGAACTTATTCCTCCTTTCTAAGTGAAATTTTGTATTCTTTGCCCAAAGTCTCACAGTAGTCTTTTTTTTTTTTAACCTTTATCACATGGTATTCCCAAGCAGACTCCCATCCAAGTACTAACTAGGCCTGACCCTGCATAGATCAGATGAGATCAGATACCTTCAGGGTGCTATGACCATAGACGCTCCCCTCAACCCCCGTAGTCTAAGTTTCTACTTTCTTTTTCTTGTCTTAACTGTGCTGGCCAGGACCTACAATAAAATTATGTATACAAATGATGCCAGTTGGCACCCTTTTCTCATTCCTGATTTTAAAAGGAATATTTTCAACATCTTTCCAGTTAAAATGATGTTTACTATAGGTGTGTGTTTGTTTTGAGACAGTCTCTGTCACCCAGGCTAGAGTGCAGTGGCCCAGTCTTGACTCACTGCAACCTCCGCCTCCTGGTTTCAAGCAATTCTCCTGCCTCAGCCTCCCAAGTAGGTGGGATTACAGGCATGTACCACCATGCTCGACTAATTTTTGTGTTTTTGGTGGAGACAGGGTTTTGCCATGTTAGCCAGGCTGGTCTCAAACTCCTAGCCTCAAATGACCCACCTGCCTTGGCCTCTCAAAATGCTAGGATTATAGGCGTGAGCCACCACGCCCAGCCTACTATACATTTTTATAGGTACTGTATAGGTCATCAGATTGAAAAAGTTCCTTTCTAGTTCTGATTTATTGGGAGTTTCTTTGCCTAAGTATACAAATTTTATCAGATGCTTTTTCCGCATCTATTCAAGTGGTCATATGGTTTTTCTCTTTTACTCTGATGATGTGATGATACCTGGGATAAACCCAACTTGGTTATGGCTTGTGTCCTTTCACACATTGTATTAGTTTTTACTACATAACAAACATTTCTAAACTCTAGAGGTTTAAAATAACAAACATTTACTTGCTTATGAGTCTGTAGGTTGGCAGTTTGGCCTAAGTGTAGTTGAGATGGCTCATTTCTGTTCGAGTGATATCAGCTAGTGTATTAACAATTCATTACTTATAAAAGTTGCCACACATTTAACAGTTTAAAACAACACTGTGGGCCAAGAATCCAGGTGTGGCTTAGCTAGGGCCGGAGCCTCATCTGAAGGCTTAACTGGGAAGGGATTAGGTTCCAAGCTTACTTGGTTATTGGGAGAATTTAATTTCCTTAAGGACTGTTGGACTGAGCCTCAGTTTCCACCAAGCTGTTGGCCAGAAGCTACCCTTCTTTCTTTATCACTTAGGCCTTTCCAACATGGAAACTTACTTCATCAAAGCCAGCAAGGGAGAGACTTCTAGAAAAAAGTCACAATCTTATATAACCTAATTATAGAAATAACATTTTATTACCTTTGCCACATTCTGTTGGTTAGGAGCAAGTCACTAGGCCAGCCCACACTCACGAAGAAGGGATACACAAGGATGTGAATACCAGGAGGCAACTATCATTCTTATCTTAGTCTCCCATAACTGAGCTCATTAATATGTTTACAGCCTTGGCTGGGCCCAGTGGCTCACGCCTGTAATCTGAGCACTTTGGGAGTCAGGTGGATCACCTGAGGTCAGGAGTTTGAGACCAGCCTGACCAACATGGCAAAACCCCATCTCTACTAAAAATACAAAAATTAGCCGGGCATGGTGGCACATGCCTGTGGTCCCACCTACTTGGGAGGCTGAGGCAGGAGAATTGAGAATTGCTTGAACCTGGGAGGTGTAGGTTGCAGTGAGCCACGATCACACCATTGCACTCCAGCCTGGGCAGCAGAGCAAGACTGCACCTCCAAAAAATATATATATAGTGAGAGAGAGCCTCGGCTTTGACAGCTGAATTTTTCTTTTCATCTAGTCTCTTACCATCCAGGGGGTAGCCTAGGCTTGTTTACATGGTAGCAACAGCAGGTTCTAAGAATGACACCAGAAGCCTACAAAGTCTCTTGAGGCCTAAACTCAGAACACACACTGTCACCTCAGCTTCACTCTGTTAGTTCAAAGCTAGTTACTGAGCAAGCCCAGATATAAAGGATAGGGAATTGACCTTTCCTTTGGATGGGAGGAGCTCCAACAAGTTTGTGACCTTTTTTAATTTACTCGATATTCTATTTTGACTTGCTAATGAATAAATTTGCCTAATTTTTCTTTCTCATAATATCCTTGCCTGGTTTTGGCATCAGGATCATGCTGGTCTCATAAAATAAGTTGGAATTCCCAACTCTAGATATAGCACCTGCCATAGGGTAGATGTACAAACATATTTATTGGTTGAATAAAGGAATGAAAGGATAAGCAAATGCCTGCAAATAAGACAGAAGAATCAGAGAAGTAAAAATCAACTAGAGGAAAAAACGTGAATACTTGAATATGACAGATTTTTTAAAATAGAAGTTTAGTTTTATCTGCTTTTTTAAGTTTGCGTAGTCTTTCTTCATAGGAAGACAATCTATAGTTAACTACTCTGCTCCCAAAGTGAAATTCATTTTACTAAAGCAGAACAGAAAGAAACCTTTCCAAGTATCTATAATTTGTATCACATTCTGAAGTCCCAGTTACTATGATAGCTGCAAAGAAGCAATACAAGGTGGAGGGTCTGAGAGGGAGAGAAATGTGACTAACGTGCAACATAGCTGAAAAATTGGCTGGCTGGGAATTATTGCTCCCAGGACGTCAGTGATTCAAGGTTTCTGTGAGCCTTAGGACTTGGGTAGGGTAAGCATTCCAAATTATATCCAAAAATAACATCTCTGTGTTTCTTTTTTAAATGGCTGGCTTATAATGAGACCTTTGCAGACTGTTACATTCTCGAGTTTCCATGTAATCTATAAATTGATATATGTCTAAGCTGCTATGTGGCATTTAGAATTCTCTGCAAAATTTAGCTTCAGATTGGCAATATTTGCCCTTCCTTTTTTGAATTTCACTTGGTTATTGAACAAAAAACACCAACATATAATTTTTCAAAATTTTTTTCCTCATTTATATTCAAACACTGCATATAAGATGACCAGAGACCATCTGATTGGTGATCTTGAATGGTTTCAAGTGCCTGAGCTAAACATATCACACAATTGAATAATATATTTGGTTGTAGGTATACAGGCAGCTTTAGCCAACAGTGAAACAAATTCTGTTAACTTAGCAGCCATTGTCTGTCAGTAGGAAGCAAATTCATCTTTATAGATCTCGTTTTTCCTAGAGCTAAACTTTCTGTTTCTCCTTTATAAAGAGGTGTTGAAGCATTGCTTCATTTGGTTGTCGTGAGGGTTAAATTAGAGGATGTATTTTGTTTACTTTTTTTTTTTTTTTGAGACGAAGTCTTGCTCTGTGCAGTGGCGTGATTTCAGCTCACTGCAGCCTTCACCTCCCAGATTCAAGCAATTCTCCTGCCTCACCCTCCCAAGTAGCTGGGACTACAAGCGCACACTACACCCAGCTAGTTTTTGTATTTTTAGTAGAGATGGGGTTTCATCACACTGGCCAGGATGGTCTCGATTCCTTGACCTTGTGATCCACCCGCCTGGGCCTCCCAAAGTGCTGGGATTACAGGGGTGAGCCACTGTGCCCAGCCTGTTTAATTTTTTTAACTTAACATTTTATTTAATGTTTTAATTAATAACACTATTATAAATGCTTTACAAATACTAATACATTTAATCTGCATAATAAACCTGTGAGGCAAACACTATTATTATCCCCATTTTATAGATGAAACTGAGGAACAGAGAGGTTAAGTAACTTGCCCTAACATAAACTAGTAATTGCCTGAGCTGTCTGGCTCTAGAAGTTCTGTTTTTAATCCTTATGCTATTTTGTCACTGTGTGAAAATGTTTCTGTAAGCTATAGATACTGTACAGAAATTAGTAGCACATATTATTAAGTATGTAACACTGTACAAGATTTATGGGAAATATAAAAGAATCAGAAGCCTGCCTTTGAAGAGTTTACAATCTAGTTGGGGAAGAGAAGTATGACATAGAAAACAGCAATAATATAGCAGCCTGTAAGATCATTGTCTACTGAGAACTCTTCACATATAATAAAACATGCACTTTTGTTTTGTTTTTTTTTAAGACAGAGTCTCACTCTGTCACCGGGCTGGGGAGTACAGTGGTGAGATCTCAGCTTCCTTCAACCTCTGCCTCCCGGGTTCAAGCGATTCTCCTGCCTTAGCCTCCCGAGTAGCTGGGACTACCAGCTCAGGCCACACCCAGCTACTTTTTTTTTTTTT